ATTTTGTGATGTTTGACATAGTCAATAATCTATTTTTCTATATATATTCAACATTTCAATAAGAAATGAGAATGTATTAAAATATGATACTGTTCCTTCCCCGTACAAGCGATAGATGATAGACACCTGCGATTTGCGTGGTTTTATAGAGCATGACCTAGTCAATCGAATTCACTCCTGAAGAAGAAATAAGTAATGAAACATACGAGAATGATAAAGTTTGAGAAAAGTCCAATAAATGAATCTTACCTTTATATGATACCAACCTCTTGGTTTTTACAGGATATTATTATCGAAATCTTGTTCTTTCGAATGATGAAAATCGCAGCTCTCTTTCTTATTCCTATCAAAAGCTATTCGAAAAATGGCAACCTACGTTTTATTTTGTAACAGATATCAAAAAATTAAAAAGAAAATTGTTTTATTTCTTAGAGAATGAAATATATTTTTAATATTTAACTGTTGGGATCAAGTAATTGACGAAGAAATGGATCAGATTTACATCTAATCAAAAAAATAAAAATAAAAACCATAGATGATAAGATAAAAGTATATAATTAAGTAAAATATACCCATTAATGAACTCTTCTTTCGTTATTTTTTTATCTTGATTAACATCAAGTTTTGTTAGAATCTGTGCAGCACGTTTTTTTGGATCATGATCACCTTTACGATTAGTGTTACCAAGAAGATCATACTGAAAAACAAAGAACAATGATTGTTTTATTTAAAGAATATAATCCAAACTGTACCAAAGCAATGATCATTTTCGTTAATTCTTCTTGATCAATTAGTCCATCATGCGAAATATCATATCTACATATCAGAGAGATGATAAATTAAACAATGAAATATTTGACATACTTACACATCAAAAACAAGGTCAAGACGAGCATCAAGATTACCACTTCTTGCAACTGAATAGGCTACAAGAAATTCTTCAAAACTTACTGTACCATCATTATTGGTATCGAATGTATCAAAAGCATATCTACAAACGCAAAAAGACAATAAATACGTATAATCCGAAAAAAAAAACCTTGAAAATCATAATTGATTCTACTTGCAAAATTTTTCTGGTTTGCCATGTGGATAGAATTGTTTGAAAACTTCGATAAATTTCTTTTTATCAAGTTTACCGTTGGGACAATCACGAATAAAACCCTATAATGCATGGAAAACTCACCGATATAAATTAATATTCAATTCGATTCAACAAACCTCATACCATTCTCGAATTTCTATATTAAAACAAAATAAACAAGCATAAAATATTTAAATTATGTAGAAAATGTTTATAAACATATATACCTTTTTCTGTATATCTAGTAATTGCTTTAAGTGAAGCAATTTCTAAAATTAAAATAAACATTGATTCATACAATGATGAATGTTTTCAAAGAAAAAGCAAACAAACGTTTGTCTGTAAGTTCAGTTGATACATGCTTAGCGTGTTTATTACCCATGATTGTTAATACTTATCAAATAAATAATATACGAAACAAAAATTTCAAAAGAAAAACCTCAAGTATTGAAACTTCTTTATTTGTGTGTTTGTATACATGCAAGTTGAATGTTATGTGTATCGATTGATTTGTGATGATATTTATAAAGCAGAGATAGAAAAATGAAAAATTACCTTGAATACACGTTAGCATATGCATATTACGCAGGATTACGAAGTCCAAAAAACAAAATCAAGTCATTTATACGGATGAGTGAACATGATATATTTTGAGTATTGATGAATATAGTCGTTATTATTTCCATTTCTTCTATTAATAATGATATTTCAACGTGGATGATTTCGAATGTGACTATGATTTACAAGTAACTGAATAATATTTTTATTAGACTGTAATAAAAATAACATTCCATTGAAAAATGATGAAAAAATTCAGTCAATCTATAGAAGAAATATTTCAGAAGGGAATCATGAGGCCATTGAGCATACGAGATACTCAATAAAAAAACAAAACATTTTTCGTGCATTTAATGCATCGATGTCTGATGCCATGAATACCAAAATTTTAACGTTCAATACACTTTCTTTCAAATGTCAGTCAATACTTAGTTTTTACTACTGTCATATGCTTATGAGAGAAAAACAACTAAAAATATCTTATAAAAAATCTGTTTGTTTTTGTTTCAATGAATCATTCAAGTTGTTAAGGATTTATTCTTCCTTAACATACATATATGTGTGCATGTTAGTTTGTTTCTCTTTCTGTTGTGTATATCTGTTTCTTTCGTTCTTCTTCAATGATTAGAAATTGTTCGTTCTGTCGCTTCCTTTCATAATCTAACTACTCTACATTCGTTTTCGCTCTCTCAGAGTAAAACAAATATTGATATTGACCTTGATCATTTCTATTGCGTATTTTGTACTACGTGATACAACGATCGTTATATATATATACATATATGTTTTCTTGTACTTGTGTATAGTGGTTAATGTTGTTCGGCTTGTCCGCGTAACGCGACACTTCGCTGATCAAGTTTTGAAAAAATTTTGTTTTCGAGTTGGACAGATCTCATTGGACTATTAGATGCAGTTTTTTACGCTGATTACGAATTTGATATTGATTTAGCATAAAAATCAGATTTTGATATCAAAAATCGGATTTTAAAGTTTTCAAAAACCGTATTTTGGATTTTTTAACCAAGAAATTTTTTCAATAAGGGCTAAGAGACATACCATTCGATGCAGAATTAAATTCTCTACAAAATGGTCTATTTAGTTTTGACTTTGGTAGCTTAGAATGGATTGAAAGCTTCGATAAAGTTTCCAACTTCCTGCCCAGTTTATAAGCTCTCAGATCGATGTATCAATCTCATTTTTGCAGAGGAGATTGTCTACTTATAAAACAGTAACAATTATAAAAATCAAGTAATTCCGAGTACACTAAGTGCCTCAAAATTGGTCAACAAAAAACTGTGTAACAGCGTTACGAAAAATGTAACAGCGTTACGTTTGTTTTTTGCATTTTTTATTTGAACAAAAATGTTTTAGAGGAAATCTTTTTTACTGCCTGAAAGTCTATTCAATGCTCTACAAAAGTGATTCTTGGAGCATTGCATTTGAAGAAATGATTTCGCAAGAAATTAGAGTTTTCTCAGTGGCACTGGAAAAAAGGGTCCTTTTATGTAACAGCGTTACGCCATGATAAAACATTTCTAGATACCTGAGACTTCAATCAAAAAAGGTCATTTTTATATGATAAATGAAGTTCGATAAGCTGCGTCGAATGACGTTTGAACGAACTTCCTAGCTCTTAAACTTTTCGAGAAAGTTGGAGAAGAGTATATCAAAAACGTAACAGCGTTACGTTTGGACAAGCCGTGTTCTTCTCTTCTTTGATTAGTTCACTATTGAAATAAGAATTGAAA